GTCCCCCTCACTGAAAACTGATGAGAAGCCATTCTCAGTAATAAATCTAGAAGGGCTTACACATGCAAAATCTCAAGTTTCAAGACCGCTGAAGACTGAGGTTAATCAGTTTGGATTTGCCACATGCGAATTGTAGCATGTGTATTTATCCTGCAGCATAATTGTTATCACAAAACTCTGAGCTACAAGGCAGTTACCATCACATCAGACTTCCTCATTTTTCTGTCAATACCATATTTATTAATGATAATATGGAAAGAGTTTGGAAAGAACTGGATGGTGTTAGCAGGTTTAAGAGAACAAATACAAATTGATAAAGTAAGTAAGTGTGTTTGTTTGTTTTAAAATCTGTCTTTCAAATACTATGATACCATGCAAATTCACACGTTCAGAGAACCTGTGAAGGAGTTGGTGTCATTACTGCACTCTTGCACTGATCAATTTAGAAATGTTTGGTGCAGTCAGTTTTACAGGAGACAGGTTCAATTCTTAACCAATATAGACTGCAGTTTTAAGTATATTGAAAGAGATGTCTCACTGAGGCTGTCTGAGGCTGCCTCACTGTCTGAGGCACTACCATGCAGTGCCGGATAAATCAGAGCGCTGTTTTAGGAGAGCATCTTGAACGTGCAGCAAAGAATGCAACAAGCACCTTTCAACATTGAAGGGAACATAGGCTAGTCAAGTTGAAAACAAGCAGCTGGGTAAAGACTTGTGAAATGTATGTATGTAGGCTGTAACGTTTTAAGGAAAAGTCAGAGGCTGTTTATTGCCAACTGCTTGATACTAAACACTTAACAAAAAATGGTAATAAATACTTACTGTTTAAAGTCTACAAACTCCATCGATCATGAAGCTTAAATGGGTGTATCTAATATTAAAGTAAAGTACACTTACCTCATGATCATGATTTCTTAGACCGATACTGATAGACCGGCTAGCTCTGGAAATAGTTGCTGTCATTGCATATAAATTAATAACTATATCTGCCACTCTCTTCAGAACCAGCTGCTCATCCACTATCGTCTAGAAGAGTAAAAATGATTAGCTTGTATTTTGTCAGTTTAAAACTTCAGTCAGACTTTTTTCATACTTTGTATTTAGACTCCTATTCATATAGCCTGGCCAGTTAAGTTGTTACATAAAATTCTTATGCTCCCTATCTATGTTAGCAAGTTTTGGATTAACCAGGCTCCACCTTTTAACAGTCTCTCTGGCTCCAGCCAACAGTAAAATTGCTGTGCCATCAAACCACCTTGATCAATGCTAAAAAACCACTCAAGCTAAATTACCAAACTTAGCTAAGTCTCTATAAAAAAAAAAAACCCTACTACTTAGGGTGGAATAGTGCAGGGCCGAGTCTGATGAGCATTCTGAGACGACATCAGATGATAGCTAACTACCTTAAAGCATGACAATTCAGGCTACCAGTCCCTCCTACTCTAACTGTTCCACTCTGCATGGCATAGATTCATTTGCTGTAGAATATGAAAGACTAAGTATAATTCAAAAAAAATTAGTGTATACTTATTCATTTGGGAAGAAGAGGGGAAATAGGTTCCACTGACTGCTTACAGTGAAATAATACTTAAAATAGTTATTGGCGCAGGGAGAATTGCTGCGTACAGAGATTGCTGCTGCTGTTTTGTTTTGTTTTTTAAACATAGGTTCCATCACATCAAGTGAGCATATAATTTCAATTTATTTATTTTCTCATGATCAATGGAAATTAATTGTGCAAAGGAACTCCTAGATTTTTGTCATCCCCATATAGTCCACTCTAGATGCTAGCGAGGCTAGCGTGGTTGATTAAAACTATTCAATAGTAAAGATAACAGAAAAAAATAGTATTGTTACCTTACCAAACCTGCTTAGCAGGCCTTTCACTGATGTTCCAAAATAATGAATATTTTCCTCAAGCTTCTTGCCACTTGCCTATAAAGCAAAAAAATACATATTCAAAATACAGTACACTTGAACAATTTGAGTAGTCTCCTAAGGGAAAAAAAAATCTACCTTAAAACAGGACATTGAGCTGAACAGCATATTTAGGGAAGCACTCATATGCTGCCCAGCCAATAAACTAGACTCTCAGCTTGAATGAGACTGCCAACTGCATGACAAGGTAGTTTTATGCTGTCTGCACCGTTCTTGGCCTCTTTGTTTGGGCTGTAGGCAACCAGTATTTTTGGCGGTTTTAACAGGCAAGACACAAGACAGACATACATCAAAATTCTCAGCTACAGCACAGAATTATTTTCTCTTTCTTTTTTAATTAGCCAAGACTGATGTTTAACAAAACACTGTAGGAGGCCCAGAACCGATTCTGATTGATTGATCAAAAGGAAGGAAAGAAGCGTATTTAATAAATAGAGCAAGCAACAGGCAATTCTGTAGAAGAAAACGATGTAAGCCCTAAGATGTGTTTCCTCCCCACCCCCCCAGGAAAGAACCCTTGCCCTCTCAAAAATGGCAGTTCAGTTTTCTGCTAAAAGCAATACATAATTATCAACTACTTGCAAATTACTAGCATTCCCTTTTAAGGTGATCTTTCACTACTTTTACATTTTTTTTTCTTCCCACCTAGAAAGGAGAAAAAAGTTGCCTGTTTTTTTATATAAAAGAACTGAGATTATAAACATTTTATTCTTTTCCCTGTTCAGATGCATCTGGGATGCATCCTGAAGCTCAAATAATACTAGATTTTCTCTTGGAAAGCACTAGTATATTAACATTCACCTAGTTTACTGTTTAGAGCCAATGAAGGCGCATTTCTTCCTCTATATAATATGCATTAAAATTTTCTAAATTTTAGCTACTTTTCAGTATACTCTTTATACAAATAAACATTCCTGAAAATGCTTATGTAACTTTTATTTACACACAACAAACAATACTTATTTTAAGTAAGTAAGTGCTGCAGGTTATAAAAATCCTGAGAATCAAGATTATGTGGTACTAGTGGGTAAATTTACCAATAGTCTCTAATTCTGGCAATACGTAGTGTCTTTTTTAGCTTTTATTAGTTTAAAAAAAAAAAAAAACCTAATTCATTATGATGATTCTTATTTGCATTCATGCCACAAGTGAGTTTGAAGCTATTTAGAGGAAATGGCTGAAATAGCTGACCTGGAGAACAGATATACCAGAAGAACAATAAAAATCTTTTTGTTAGTTTTTCAGATTACTAACAAAAAACATCATAGGAAAAACATACCTTACCCTTTCTGTTATCAGATCATTTCTCACTGGTCATATGAATTATTTATTGTGATTAGCAAGTATTTTTATAGTTCACAGAATTTCTTACCTAGAACTACATTACTAGTAAACAAACAAACAAACAAAAAAGGAACAGAAGTGTCTGCAGCACATAGACCACATGAGCTACTAGTAACCAAGTGAGACGAGTCAGGATAAATTTATCCTATTTCATCCTTTATGTTCCTGCTATCTTCAAGCTAGGATTCTGGGAGACCCTTATACTTGCCTGAGAGCCATTTGTGGCAGGACACATCATAGTGCAGGAATGAAAATTCATAGCAAAAAAATCAAATGACTGAATGTCTGCTGAGAAACACAGTTGGAGCTTGTAGTACTGTGTTTTGTGACAGAGCTTACGAAGCAACTAACCAGTAAAAGAAAGATTTTTAATACTGTGAAGCTCAGTTTACATAAATTACTAAAGTGGAGATAAACCTGGGTTTGGTATAAATACCTACACTTAGTCTTTATTTTGCCTTGATAAACACCCATATAACATATATAACTAAAAAAGGTCCTTTCTCCTAAAATACTAGACTACTGCTTAGCTTTGTAAATCTCACAGTATTAGGCATACACATAGTTGTTTTGCATAAACAGGCTATATGCTGCGATGAACAGTAATGGGAATCAAATGTCACAGACCAGCGTCTGAGTCTGATCAAAAAGCACTGTATTTCTCCTCACTTACTTACTTACTTACCTCAAGACTGGGATGCACTACTCCGCGTTCACCAACTAGCCCGTAATCCACTTTTCTGCCCATCACGTCCCGGAATTTGCTTAAAAATTCCTCCAGTGCCACGCTTACATTGCCTTTCTTGATTTCTCTAAAATGTTGGGTAATCAACAGCTGTTAAAGGACATTTGTTTCCCTGCCTTCTTGCGTACAAGCATCAGGAACAGAAAATTAAGACGGGAGGGGACTATTACAAACTACAGTCAAAGCTCCTAATACAAACTCTCTCTCCTAGAGTCCTGAAATTTTTAATTATCGGCTGTAACAAGGATGCCTCGTTCCAGGATGCCTTGCTTAACTTACTTTAAAATAAGATGTTGTTAATCATCTTCAGAGTGCGAGACCCCCCCTGCTTGCTTGTATTCACAGTTAGGAGCAATTCAGCAAAAAGGAGGTCCCTCAAGAGCCTTTCAGGAATACAGCATGCCAGGCACAATTCTCTAGGAGAGAGGCCTGCTTGTATGTTAACATTGTAAAGCAGCAATATCTGTATGTGCATTTCTGTTTCTCGTTTCTTAACGTTTTCACTCCATATTGGGGCAGGAGGAGAACACAGTGATTCTTGTAACAGCAGATTCCCCTCCTCCCCCCCGCCATGGTGGGTTTGTTAATTTGTGGCCCAATACAGTCAAAAGTATACTTAAACTAAAAAAAAAAATGGTATTATAAAATAAAATATGATTGGACAAAATTCCTAAATATATGAAACATTGTCAATTAAACAAGAAAAAAAAAATCCTATACATTGAAAAGCCTTTTGGAAAAGACAGATAACGGACTGAGAAATACTGCACTTTTTTCCTACATAATTTCTCCTCTCATCTATAGTTAAACAATTATCAAATTGTGTTTAGTTTGTTAAAACGATTAGCAATAAATAAGAACATACTTAATTTTTTCAGTTAAGATTTTGCCTGCATATTGCATACCCGTCAAAGCAATATACAATCGCAGAATTTCGTTTGTTCCCTGTAAAAAAACACAATATAAAGATATAAAGTGGAGTCAGTATCAGGTACAAGCCATTTTTAATATTTCAAAAACCTGTATGTGCTGTGCTAATATTTTCTATCAATCATTTTTTTTTCCAAAAGAGCTTTTAATGGCTAAATATCTTATGTTCTGTGCTTTCCTTCAAAATATCGTAAGATGCATTTGGACTTGTAAGATAAAGTTCTTTTGGAGAGAGCTGTGTAAGACAAAAGATGACCATTACCTGCAGCCAAAACAAGCTTATGCCAGAAGCTACGCTCCCAGGTGAGAGTGCACCTGAAGTGGTAACAAAAGTTTGGGAGGTAGAAGTCATATGGCTGGAGAGGCTTGTGGATACTGGAAGCAGGCCACAAAGTGTAAACACTGTATTTGAAGTGTATATACTATTTTGAAGACTGTTCTTTGGTTAACTACTTGCATATAATTTACAGTATTAATGAACGCTTTCCAAGCAGGTCTGTGGCCTGTCTTCCCTTTCTATTCTTCTAGTAGTCAAAGATTACTCTTAATCTATCCATAAATGTTTGCTGTCTTCTGCTGTTCTGTAACTGAATTACAAAATTGTAACTTCATTTAACTGTGAAAAGGTTGAGCCTCTCGTTATTAGACATAAATATGTAGCACAAAAAAAAGATTACTTAATGTATTTTCAGTAAAAATGAAGTTCTAGACTGTTTTAGTAAAGGATTGTTTTAAATAATTGTAAAACTGCTTCAATACACCTGTTTGGAAGGCAAAAGCAGACCAGGAAATTAAAGTGATACTGTACAACTGGATGTCTGGGAATCCATTATACAATTGCTTGTTTTAATACACACAGCTGAAAAATAAAGATCAAAACACAGAAGGCAGGTTACAGATGGAAAGCGTCCTGAGGTAGTACATCAGTGTCAAAAGTCTAATGCCTTAAGGACAGGCCAAGTCAAAGAGGCTACAGTTTCAATAAAAAGTATTCCTCTGTCAATAGGGGTAAGCAGGAAGTTTTGGAGGGGCACAAACACACCATATCCTATGTATTTTTGTTCTTGGAAAACCAGATCCTGGACAACAGAAACATGCCTTTTCTAGTCCTTAGTAGTCTGTCCTTAGCTGGACTGAACAGCGCAGTTTTATCTATCTATCTGACATGTCTGCAGGTCCCTTATAAATAGGCTAAGATCAACAATAAAATAAGAGAAGTGCTCAGTCTGCTTGTCTTAGCAGAGGAGAAACGTGATGTAACTGGTTGGGATATGTATAATCCCTCCAATGTGAAAAGTCGTCTGTACTTCAAGTCTAGAAAAGGCTCCTTATATCTGGTTTTGATTTCACTGTTTAGTGTCCGTCCAACTCATAAACTATCAGTCCCCACATGATGCAGGATGATGACCTTGCTGGTTGGTTGGTTTTGCTCCTTAATCAGTATTGGAATTGACTGTTCCTAGTTTACGGGAGATAAAATCAGGTACGTTTACAAGAACAGCTAGTGAATGCTATATAACCATTTCTGATTTGCAAATTCTTACTTGCTTTAACTTGCAGCAACTTGCAGTTTGAGAACTTTGATGTCGCGATATAGGAAGACAACTGTTCATTTATAAATGGTCCATCATGAAAAATCAAGTCATGAATGAGATACACACAGATGAATGGTCACTGATGACCCAGCTTAGAAACAGAAAAATAAACTTCATAGCCAAGATTAAAACAAACAAAGAAAAAAAACCCCAAACACCTATTAGTAAGTTAAGTGACTTCCAAATTAATTTTATGCAAGTTTCCTTGCTTCACTTTTACGAAGACCTATTAGAGAAAGTTGTATAAAAATGAAAATTTTGCCTGTACCATTTCCCCTCTCATACATTGGTATAGATATATGAGAATAAAGCAGGAAAAAGATTTCAAAATACGCTTTCTACAAAGTGAAAAGCATTCACATTAGGATCTTAACTCTAATTTTAATTCATTCTCATTAGGCTCTTAACAATACTCAATTTCTATCATGGTTCAGCACACGCAATTACAACTATTTACTGAACGTAAACTGATGAGCTACTTTTGTCAGGTAAAATAGTTCAGGTTTTTATGCTAAAGAGTAGCTTTATGCTTTTTAATAATGAGATTCCTTTAGTCTCTTCAAAACAACAACAAACCCAAGCCACGAACGAGGACTGCTTTTCTCCTGACAGTGTGTTTAAAATGGCTGCATATTTTGTTCAAAAGTTTCTAAATGCTTAAGAGGGAACCATATATAGTACCAGGTCATACACTTTGTTCTTTTCAGAGGTAAAGCAGATACCAGTTCCTAGTCTAACTCACGCTTAGAATAAGTGTAACAGAACTTTCAACTGTAAATGAATAAAGGACCCTTCACAGGAGTACTGTACTGGATTTGTTTCAGTCAAAGTTTACAGAATAAGAGAGAGTAAATTTCAGTTTATGGCAGAAAAGTATATTCATACTTGCCTCAAAAATCAGAAGTATCCTGGCATCTCTGAGGTAGCGTTCATAGGGGTAATCTTTCATGTAGCCAAGGCCTCCAAGAATTTGCAGGGCTTCACTTACACAAACCCATCCACCTTCAGAACTGAACACCTGCCATTGAATAATATTTTAATTACTGTGGTACCCACGTTAAATACAGAAAACAGTGTTTTGTTATTATGCCCCGAGTTAAAATACGTATAAGACTGAATTAAGAAGAATTGTATCTACATGGCATTGCTGTAATATGTTGTAGTGCTTTTACCCTGGCCCTGTTTAAAGCTTGCCTGAAGTTGTATGCTTAGGGCTCAGGGTATACACTGTGCTCAAACTAGTTACTTGAAAAATCAGTATCTCCTTTCACTGCAAGCCACGAAAATTCCTCTGTAAGGAAACGCTCATAGGTGATTCAAAGCCTCAAACTGAAAGAAAACATGTAGCTGGTTGTTTGGAGCACTTACATCTCCCCAAATTCATGGGAACATGAATTCTTTTGGACTGACCACATAATAAGATGCACATCAGCAGGGGGGTTGAAAATTCATGAATTCTGAAGGGTGCCTTGCCAGCCAGCAGCATCCCTTGGCCTGCATTATAGAAATGCTTTAAATCGTGACACTCCAGTAGGGAGAGCAGGCCTGATTCTCCCTCACTCATCTACTCCCTATCTCATATATTCTGCAACGGATTCTAAAAGAAAGGCACGACAGAAGCTCCTTAGCTGTATCTCCAGCTGCAGACCTGGCTAAGTATCTAAGGCTCCATACAAACAGAATTCAAGAGGACCACAAAATTCCAAACTTCTTGTATCCACTGTTTTTCTTTCATATGATGACAGAAGCCTGCATTCTGAGGAAATCTAATACCAAGTGGGAAATAAAGAAGACAAGAATGTTGGATTTTTTTTTTTTTAACCTAGCTCAGGTTTTTGTATTACGTGTCTAAATGTAATACTTGAGCCTCTCACGAATCTATATGGTAGACTGAAAAAAATGAGAGATGTTTGTCTGTATTAGCTTAATCCCCTAAACCAGTCTTTCAGTAAAATTAATTACCTTGACCATGGCTGCCTCCAGTGAGCAATCTGGAAGTCCCGGCTTGTCCATCATTCCTGCCGTGAGGTAAGCCATACTCTCCATTACATACGCTTTCACAGCCATCAAATTAAACTTCTCCTGTCAAATAGTAATGAGAGTAACAGGTGAAAGAAATCGTACCTGATGCAAAATACTAATCAGTCTATAGTCATTTCAAAACTCAGAAGCACAACTGCAGTTTTCATATGTTTAACATAACAGGTATTATCAAGTACCATTTAAAAGTACTTACTGCAAATCAGTCATGAAAATCTAAAAAATAATTTGATGCATTTATCATTCTAGACATTTAAAAGATTGTGTGTAGAAGTCTGCACTAAATTTACACCAATTCACTACCTCTAGTAATTTCTTTTAACCAGTAACAGCCAGAAGAACCCCAGCCAGAAGAACCCCAGCATAATCCATCTGCTTAGCACTTACTCAACACGAAGCCCTGTTTGAGGTTTTCCGGATTTTTTCTACCTACCTGAATTAATCCAAATTCACTCAGTTTCTTATTGAATTGTTTCCTGGTGCAAGCATACTCTGCTGTCATTTCTTAAAAAGAAAAAAAGACACCATTTCATCTCAAAACAGCATAATTACTACTGTGCCATATCATTCCTACTGTACGTAAATAAAAATATCTTTCTACTGATTGATTCTGACAATTTCACGTACATGTGTAGTAAAAGCCTTGCTGCTGCAGAAACAGTAGCTTGTGAAGAACACCCTCAAAATAATTGTGTTGAGAAAATCTGGGAACACTGACACCGTGTCAAAAGCTTTTAAGCAAGAAGAATGTGAGATGTGAACTGGTACTCTTAGAGGAAAGCACGTTTCAGAGCCAATTCATTTATTTTGAGAGATTTCTGTTACTGTTTTAGGTAACTATTGCCAGAAGCCAATTTCACTAGTTTTCATTGTATCTAAACTTTTGGGCTAGAATTACCTCAAGTTGGAAGAGAATAAATTGTAAGAGAAAATACATTAAGAGAGAATAAATTCTACCTTCTAAAAGCAGTAAGATATGGGGATACTCATTAAGAATGTTTTACATCAAAACAAATTCAACAGCAACAGCTTTCTGCTATATGAACTGAAAAAGCTTTAGTATTTTACAGGCTTTAACAACAATTTTTAATAAATATTTTACAGGATTTAAAGAAGTCAAAACTTTTTATGATTGACAACAGTGAAGTTACTATGATCAAGACCAGTGTTACTACTTTGAACAAACTACAATGTATACTTCACGCGCATCAGATTTTTTTTGCATGACATCCAGCAATTTTGAACACTTAAATTTTACCCACCTATCAATTTTTTAACCATTCCAGCAGTCGCACTGCCCATGCTAAATCTTCCGCTGTTTAGGATGTTCACGGCAACCTGTGAATATTAATATTTTTTAGGCAATGTTGTTGCCACAAAACGTCTCCTGCGGTCAAGATGCTTACTGCTACCTTGCTTCATGTTTTAGTGCTTTCCTGGATTTCATTCGTCACTGGAATACACTTCCTATCCTATGACACTTTTCTTCAAACTGGTTAATATAGCATTTAGCATCCCAACAGTAACGATTAAAAAACAAATATTTAAGGTGATCTACTAGATACAGTTTATCACTTGAAATAGTTGTACAGATACTGATGACCCAAGTTGCCTGGAAGTAACCCTCTACTCAAACTACATTAAGGTAAAATGCAGATAAAAACGTATTTATCTGCAACACTTGAATTAGACAACACTGCTGAAATTCATCGGAGAGAGGAATAAGAAAAACAATGCACTGCTTAATGTGCTTAAACAACAGTCACATATAAAAACCTTCTCTGCAGCTAACCTGTAATAGAGGCTTTCCTGCTTCAGATATCTTCTTCCATACCCTACACATCTTGAGATGCAACCATAAGAATTAATTTCTCCGCTATAAAGTTTAAAGTATATTACTATTTCCACTTACTTTCTTCCTGAGGACCTGCCATTATTCCTTTCAGATCTGCAGCCACTCCCCCTAAATGTATTTACTGTGAACTTACTGTACTCTGTAAATTAAAGACTGCATCGCTTCCTTTGAGATCACTGGCATTTTGACAGTTCATGTCACCTCCCTTACTTTACTGCCCTGTTGAATTTGTCTTAATTAGGATAAAACTCTTCTTCCCTCTTCGGTGACTATGTGTACGTCTTAAAATTAAGTGCCTATGCATGGAATCTTACATTTCATGTCACACTATGAGAAATGTACTTGATGCAAATGTATAAATGAGCTTAATGCAGGTATCCAAATGTGTTGGATAGGGACCAGATGATGATGGCAATCAGTTGCTTCAGGGCAAATTATCTTCCAAACCTGTTTTTGAGGGATACTGTAACAATTCTGCTAGTAGTCAACACAGTAATTAACACCTACTCTTGAGTACCTACTCTTCCCCAAATTCACTCACTCTATCCCTCCATACAAAGCGCACCAAAAATAAAAAAAGGGACAAGGTAGCTACAGCTTTAGTAGAAACAACACATTTTGAGATAAATAGATCAAATTAAAAGTATTTTTAAACTGGGGTGCGGGTGCGCTGCAGAACTTTACTGCCTAGCCTGGCAGGCTGGATTAGAGAGCCAGGCTCCCTCAGAACACGGCTGGGAGCAGCCCCTCAGCTCGGTGCCTTCCTGCACTCTCATGCTGTCCAGCCTCCTACCTGTGGCAGCACAGCTAGCCAAATATACCTGTTTCCCCATGGCCTAAGGAATGCTGATGTGCAGCAGCAGTTCTGTGACATACTTCAAGGCTAGTTAGAGTCTGGGAAATTTAAGTTTTAAGGTTCTTCTTGCCCTTTATGATATGTAGATGTGAAACTCCAGTACAGAATGGCCTTATTTTTTTGCCATCTCACCTCTCATTTCTTCTCTCTAGCTGCCAGATGCTATGAGAACACTGTAGAAAGAAGCAAAGCTATTCTGTTCTAGAAGAAAGAGACAGCTACTTTGAGTATCAGCCAATTGTAGAGGAAAACAGGACGGCGTTACAAGGAAAGGAAGGAGCTTACTATCAGCAAAGACTGAGAATAATAACCAGAAAAGAGCAAATTAAAAATGAGAGCAAAGCATGTATTGCCTGGCATTATAAAAAAGGAGAAACCGTCCTTGCAACTACAAAATTACATTTATTCTAAATGACTACATCTCTCTCCAGCTTAAAGAACATTATTCAATTCTGTCTATCTAATAAATATAAGTGGAAGATAAAATGGATATGAAAAGGTGAGGTACTACTATAAAATACTGAAGTATTGAGAAGAAACATACACAAATCTGAGATTATGGCATACCGCACGCTACGCTAGTGAAATCAATTAACGCGAAACGTATAAGGTTCACGGAGAAGTCTGTCCTCTAGTACTCTTCAATTTGGCAATGTTGGTATTACTAAACAAAGAACCCTCAGTGCAAAAAAAAAAAAAAGTCTCCTTTAGGCTTTTAAAAATTATCAGTAGTTATTCTTTACTGCTTACCTTAAATCCCCCTCCTACTTCTCCAATAACATTCTCTATAGGCACTTTTGTGTTTTCAAAATGTACTTCACATGCTGAAACACAGAGTAAACAGCAGTTGAACTATTACACATAAATATTTAAATGACATTCAGGAATGTAACTGACTCTTCTTGTAACAAAAAAGCAGTTTTCCTAATGTATGAAGGAACTACACGGGCTTGGCCAAAAGAATTAGAATTCTAACTGTAGTTGACCCCAATTAGTGATGTAAAAAAATTCAAAATATAATTAACGTACATTGTGTAAACAGAGAAGAACTATAGTCTTGACTCTCTGTTTTATGGAACTGATAGAGCGGTCAAGTCTGAATGATATGATGGTAAAGCACTACAATCACCAGGAAACTTAAGAAGAACCTATGAAAAATTACTCTTAGACTAATGCTACTTGGTTACCGAGCTGTCTGTGTCAATTCTTTCACAGCGTGATTAGGGAAACTTCAAATGTGTGGAAAGGAATTATACAATATGGATTTTTTATTTCAGATCCTGCAGAAGAAAAGCTGAGAAAAGAAACATGAAACTATACAGCTATATGGAATAGATATTAATTTGCTTGCAAATTCAGATTATCGAAACAAAATAAAAACATTAAAATACTGAAACAATTGCTGCTAAGTAATTCTTACTATTCGATCCTCGAATCCCCAGTTTATCCTCAGGTTTCCCATGGGTGACTCCACCAAAATCTCGCTCTACGATGAAAGCAGTAATTTTGTCTTTTAGCGTTCCATCTTTATCAACAATTTCTGTTCTAGCAAATACTGTGAAAATATTAGCGAGACCACCATTTGATATCCAAACCTGTTTGAGAGAGGAAAGAAGTAAGTGTATTTGTTCTGATTTTGTGAGCACTGCCCTTAACTGCTTCATAACAGACATCAACAAAGAACAGAGCGGTGAAAATTTTTTCCTTCTTCCCTTAAATTCTAATCACTGTTCTGCTACTAGTTTTGCTTCTTGTGAATGCATTTCCAGGAAAAGCTGACACAAGAGTAAGTTCAGCATAACTATAAAAATTAGCTGTACTATACATCTGAATTAAATTAAATGAAAATACAAGGTGTACCCTCACAAAAGCTTGTATGTATTTTTACTTAACATATGTGAGTAGTACATAGGCAATAAAGACTGAGGTCTCACCTTGCTTAATTTCATCTCTGATGAAAAATACTCTGAATCAGGCCACATCTGCAGGGCCTCTCCCATAGCGTGGGTCTCTCCACATCACAGACAAATATATCAACAGCTACAGATTAAGTCTGTAATGTATCAAACGCTGTTGAATCCAGTTATCTGCGCACATCTCGAAGACTGTATTTTGCCATTTTTTCTTCTAGCAAGAATATTCTAAGCAGCCCTATTTCCAACTCACTGTCAAGTTTTTGTCCAAAAACATCTACAAAGTCTTGCATGATAAAGAATGAAAGGAGGGGGAAACGGTTTCAGGTTTCTTCTCGTCTTTGCAGTCACAGAGGAGGTCTAACTAATCCTTCCTGAAAAGTCAAACAGCAGGAGTTGGGGATACAGAGAAGGCACTTCAGAGGGGCTTCTTCATACCTTTCTCATCAAGAGTTTAGTGAACGTTATTCCCCAATGACTAGCCTGGAATCCCCAAAAGCCTGATGCAGCTCCCAAGCTAGCCTCTTACTTAGCAGAAGCAGCTAATTACAATGCTGCAAAAGACAAGAATACTTTCTATAGAACCTGTCACCGAAAAAATGTTGTATTTCCATTCTGTGAGCAAATACCTTGGAGCCATTTAATAAGAAGTATTTCCCATCTTCACTGAGGGCTGCTCTTGTCTGAATGGATGCAGCATCACTTCCACTAAAAGCCAAAAAAGTTATTAATGTTTAAATAAACATGCTTTAAAAAACAGAAGTACAGTTTCTTCCCTCTTCCCATCCTTTAAAAAGAATGTTTCTGGTTGTACTAAAAAGTGGTGTATACATTTTCGTTCTTAAGTAAGAGGGAAACTTATTAGATGCAACAGCTCTAAAGAAATCTACTTAAGTTACCTGAAAGGACATTTCTGCTGATTAACTTGATGAACTGATTAGAACTTCCTAGAGTGCAATGTAAGCAACTTTGCTGAGTTACAGTTTGAGCTATATAAACACATGATGAGCATGTTATCCTAAAACACAGCCAGTTTAAAACATCTAAGTTGTTCCTCAAATAGTCATACCCTGATTGTACATCCTAAGGAAAAAAGGTTCAACAGAAATGAAAAATAAATCAACAGGTGACAGTCTTTATGCGTGAGCATTTGGACACATTACACACTTTCCACAGTAGTAAAATTCGCAGGTCAACTGCAACAAAGAAATCACAAGTGTATGTTCGGTGATTAAAAGTTCAAACACACTCTTCAATCACCACCTTATCATGTGATTTAACAAGCAGTACATAATCTCCCCCTTGAAAGAATTTTCATTTTTAGAACTCCAAATAGTAAAATGCCATAATGGCTCGTTTGGGGGTTTCAGCTGAAGACAGTTGATAAGTTGTTTGAACAGCCGCAAGTCAGCTGATATTTTAATAGGGCTAGATTTCTAAAAGTGAACTCCAAAAACGATTGCCTCTGTGTGCTAGAACTATGGTATCTGAGAAGACTGAAGTTAGAGAGACTAACACAATGTTTTAAATAATGCTAGGCTAAATAAAGACATTAAAAGAACTTCAGAACAAGGTTACAACTTGTAACTTGTGTTACTTCAGAATCGCTTGCATGGATCGCTTTGTTAAAATGTCTGTGCTAATAAAAATTTTACCTGCAAACGGAAAAGATTTTAGAGGGTAAGTCAAAAGCCTGGCTTAGGACGACAAATAAAAGCCAACACTAACGGCTGGGAGCTTTCTTATTCATCACAACAACAAGAAAGTTAGCACACACATCAAATGCTCTGTGCAAGTCATTCTAGAAGACGAAAGTTCAAAAAAGTTTCAAACTATAATTTTGTACGGATAAGTAAGATTCAACATCAAACATCCAAAGTTCTTCAATCAGTTTAACAATCACATAGTAAACCATATACCTATATGTTTTTAAGAAAAATGCACCTTTTCTGCATTCAAACAATTTGCAATATTAGCACAGTCAATAAATAAGCTTAATAAAACAACTCTGTCTTTGAAATGAAGTTGCTACAACAAAGATGCCTTTTTTAAACTCTAAGAGAAGACCAACATTTCTTCCTATGATTTGAGGTGGTTCCTTCAATACTGGTGCAGGTTTTTTAATAATTTTTAAAACAACTGAAAGCTGCCTAGAAGAGTAACAGCACAAATTATCCTTTTAATACATATTCAGTAATGCTAGCAATTAAGTGGAAGAATGCCTGGGATGGGAACAACTAGAAAAAACGGAGCACCTCAAGTCAAAGGTGAGTTAGTGATTTCACGAAAACTACCATAAGTAGCACCTTGGGGAAAGACGGATTACATGACTATAAGCGTACTTTTTTTTTTTTTTTTTTTTTAAAGATATTGATCTATATAGTGACATTGCGGGCACAAAATGTAAAGATTTAATACAGGAACCAAACAACCACTGTAATGAAGACACGTTCAAAAAATAATTTTAATGTTTGTACTCCTGAAGCTTTTATGATTAGAAAAACAGTACCTTCCTGGTTCTGTGAGACAGAAAGCTGCAATGTGCTCCCCAGATGCCAATTTAGGCAGGTACTTTGCTTTTTGTTCTTCAGTGCCAGCAATGAGGATTCCCTAAATAAAGAAATTCGTTGGAAACTCTTCAGCAATCAAAATATGTGAAAAGAAATTAAGCTGCCAAATTACATCAAGTTCAGGAAGCTTAATTTACAGATTATATGACATAACTAGGTAATATTAAGATAGTTTAATAAACAGTGAGCATTATTATACTTATCAGACATTAAGAAATGTTCCAGTTATCATATACTTGTTCAAACATCCACAGGAAATGGCTAATTATTAAGACTGCCTTCTAGAGTGGGTTTCACTACAGGAACACCATAACTGAAAACCCTGTTGTTGCTCTGAAAGGCATGGGCAATAACAGAGTTCATTCTTTATCATCTGTACCTTCAATATTCCTTCATTACTAATGCTAGTGACTTTATTTAAATAAACCAAAAGGCATGAACTTCCACAGCTCCTAATCAAAGTACAGAAGATATTATTTACTTGGTTTCCAACCTATTTCATTACATAAGCTTTCAACAACTTTTTGTGAGAACTGCCCTTACTTGAATTATCTCTGTACGGAGCTGTATTTTTTTTTATACAACAGGTTTCTTGTGAAGGACAAGCAAAAAACAAAAAATACATGATTAAGCTAAATAATCATTTGTCAAGTAGCAAAGATACAGATTCTCAACAAAATTAGGAAGGATTAACACCAACTGGAACAAACTGGCCACAGAAGGAGAATAACAGCAGTTCTATCTCATACAGCACTTTTCATCAGAGTGCTTTACAGATCTGATCAGCTCACTATCCCTGCTCTATTGTAAGTTAAGGTGAGGAATGCAGCTTTTCAATTGGCATCATCTGCTCAATTCTGTAAAGATTTTTTTGTTATTAGAAAGAACTCAGTAATTCCAAGTTTCAGAATACTTCTACCATCCATAACATAAAAATACACTAAAAAGTAAGGTACTTAAGGCTATACTACACTTTAAAAAACTAGTTCAAAATTCACATACTAGCTGTAACGTGTCGAACTTGGATAAGTTTTGTCTAAGCTCCCTCAATATCCAGCCTCTTCCACCTAGAAAGTGTTGCACTCTTTTGAACTATCTGCATGGTTTTGCCACCTTCACATAATTTTAGTCATCCTTATGTTTTATCGTTTTCAGCATTTCTTCCAGCTACTTTTATCAAGCTTTGTAAATATACAAAATTTCAGATCATTTAAAGTACTTTTCCTAAGAACTCTTATCTCAGTGTTCCCTGGATTAACCATTTTCTTGTATACCTCACATTCAATCTCTATCCTGCATATGCAAGTGTTACACAGGGCCACTGGCAGAAGGTGTTAAGACACACTCTAACGACTCAGCTGAAGTCAATCCATCCGATTTATGCTTCACAAGTAATTCTCATTTGTTATTAGTTACCACACCTACACTCTGTAGTTAAGTAAACTTCATCTCACCCTTTTTATGTAAGCATAGAACTACTTGACGTGAAAGAAGAACATTACCTTAAGCCCAATAGCTTGATGAGCTGCCAGAGTAACCGCTATAGATCCATCTAAAGAAATGATTTCTCCCAAACGTGCATACATGGTATTTGATAGACCAAGACCACCTGGAAAAAACAGTACCTTTTATTCATGTAACTCTAAGTAGCTGACTTAGAATTTAACCTCCTTCCAGCCCCCTCCTTCCTCAGAAAACCCTTTCAAATAAAGAAACATAAGTCATACAAGGCTATTAACTGGGGAATGCCTTAGTATAGGCTGTCCATACTGGATACATTGTGTCCACAAATAAATACCATGTTGCAGGAGGTGTTCCAGAATAAGGCGTCTTAAAAACAGTGACTCTTTTCTATAAGCAGGAGCTGTTCTGTAGTGGAGATTTTAGTTCTATTCATAAAGCAGATGTGTTTGTGTTCATGCATGTGTGCACATGCATGCAGAGCAAATATACCATAATCCATCACATGGTAGGAAACAGACTTGTTTAAATAATCTGTATGTGAAAATGGTAAAACGTTTGGTATAAAAATTACTTTATTCTAAATTACTAACAGAACAAAATCCAAATTTTTGTGATGTTTCCGTGCTATCTTACAAAATCAGACAATTAACCTATACATACATATATATATATATACACACACACAGCTTTGCAGCCGACCAGCTGCAGACCAAGGAGCAGAGGGAGCAGCGCTTGACAAATCTCAGGACAGGGCTGGCTCTGGTACTGATGAAAAAAAGCCAACTGGCAACAGCCAGGCAGACCCCAGCTTCATCGGAAACAGGGCAGAAAATGTCCAAGTCAACAAAAATGGCACAAGTAAGTTTCCCATTCAGGCTGCTGAACTAGTACTAAGGAAGGATAAAAGGATACTTCCAAATCCAATCCAAAAGGATTCTGAAGGATACTTCAGAAACATCTTTAATCCAAAAACACGAATATATCAAGACAGGAACCTGACACCAACACAAACTTTTTGAGGGTATTTGATGATCTGCTGCTGCAAATACAGAGACCCTTTATTTGTAAGGGGCTTGCAAAGAACTCAAGTAGGATAATTCAGAGATACATCTGCATGGATCTAATGTGCAAGGAACTTTGTATTTTCAGCACTACGGTCCTCCCAATGTCTGCATAATTTAGTATGACCTTATATATTACTGCTGAATAAACAATTTTATTGAATCCAAACAATCTTTTATCTAGGTTAAGAATTTACCACTTCAGATAGTTGTGGAAGTGAGAATAATGAACACCTTATTTCAGCAGATTTCTCAATGGTGCCACTTTTTCCTGCATATTAAGTGCAAGAACAAGCTCAGCTACAGCCTCCCCTATGCCTTTAATTTAATCACTGCCTCTTACATCTCCTTTTCCTTCAGAGCATGCTTAAATTAATTAAAATTTACACTCCCCCGATCTATACACACTCTCTTACTTCTGTTCCCCTTTCTAAGAGGGGTTGCGACAAGAATCCAGCTTGGATGACATGCATACTGATGACATGCAGAGTAATTTCAGTGGTGCCAATTTTTAGAGAATGTTACATGATTTATGCGAGCTCCTGTTTTCCCATTAAGGTTTTGCATTTTAATGTCTCTGACAATTATGCCACTATTACAAATTGTTAAGAAAAATATCATAGAAAGAAAGAAGCACTGAATGTGTGACTGAAGAGCTGTAAAACAAAACAAATGCCACTAACAAAAATATAGCAGGTTTAAATTACAAAAAAATGTGAACTAACTTCATTAGAAGCGCACTAGCTACGGTGCAGTGAAAAACATCTTCCTTACAATAAATTGATCGCTTTCCATCTTTTGACTTTTATCCAGCACAAACGATTACAAGATCACAGGAGTATGAAACTCCTAATCTAAGCTAGCAGGTTAGCTAGCCTACATTAACTTTATTTTCCAGAATCATTAGTAGCACCGGTGCACTTCTGTCTGCACAAACATTTGATGGATAACAAAGATTGGATGAAATGCTACTCTTCTTTACACACTGAACTCTTAACGATTTTCCAGGAGTAACCTGAATGGATGCAACCTATGGCAAACTGGAAGCTGACAGAGTGCTATTTCACAAGTTTCGAAACAATACAAGATCAAAACAGTTACAACATTTCAGTAAAAAAAAAAAAAAAGAAGTATGATTTTTAAACACATTACCTTTCAGAATCTTAAAAAAAACCTCAATAGACTAGGAAAATTATTTCAAATTAATTAGTAGTAAATTACACTTCAAATGTCATGATGCTTTCCCAATGCTGTGCTCTGAGTTCTCTCCTTTGTTCCCTGCTTCCAACATCTCCTTCCAGCGGACACTAACTCCCGGTATTTTTCCAATATATTTCTTAATTTGTAAATACCTCTCTCCCCAGCTGGGTTAAAAGCTCTGTCCAGATCTTTCTCCTCCCAGGACATTATCCTGAAGAGAAAAACCCTGAGGTGAGCTTGCAAATCTCTTTTCTATCTTACTCTCCTATCACCCTTGCCTAGTTCTGAATACCCACAATAAACACACATTTCTAATGCACTTCAAATGTAATTAATCAACAGAGATCACCTCATGTTACAGTATATGTAAGTTGTCCAATATACTTTAATGAATTTGTACAGAAACATTGCATTTTGAAGAAGTGAAATCAGTGCAGCACAGCAACACCACTTATATTGCCTAATACAATAAACAAAGAACGAGTAACAAAAATGCTATGAAAAATGTGACATCGCTTTAACACAAAGTAAATACTGAGGTGTCTCCAGCTTTAAATAGTATTACTGCAGTCACTGAAACAAGTGTATTACGTTTCACACTATGCTTTTCAAAAATTAGGTATCTCCCACTGAAACTAGTTTCTGCAGATGGTCAAACACTATTCTGTCTTCCAGCAAGTTCCTCTCTTTAAAATGTGCTTCTTTAACAACAGAAAATAGAAGATTTGAAAAACTCATTTCTTACTTTATATATTTTATGTTATGTATTAGTTTCAAGCCCAAATTCTCTTTATCAATAAGAACACGATTAACATTTTCTTCAAAGTTCCCCTGCAAATTTAGGGGTTAATCCTCTGAGGAACTAATGTCTCAGATCTCCGTTAGCATTATCATCTCCTCCAAGACATAGGCTTAAGTGAAGATATTAGGCATAATTTCAGTATTGCATAGGAAAGTTTTTACACAAAAGCTACGCATTTAATAAATAAAAATAGCAATTTTACACTTCTAGATTGCCAAACACATTCCTTTCTGGCAACGACAGGTGAGAATTTTAATAAATCATTTCCATGAGACTGCAAGTAGCCTGGCTATTCTCTGTAGCCCAGTACAATTTTAGAAATCATCAGCTAGCTCCAAGTCCTACGGCGTCAAGCTTCTCTGCTGCACCAAGAAAATGAACAAAAAGGAAAATACTGAGCCAAGGGAGATTTATGCCGTCTAAATTTAGTTCTCTAACTTAGGCGCCTAAACTAGGACTTTGTGTAGCTCTCTATACAGCCAACGGATATTCTAGCTGCCTTTGTCTCTTTGTTAACTCGAGAGGACGCGTGAGCTCCTAACTTAGGCATCCAACTCAAATGACTAAATATAGATTAGCACAGACATTTTGCAAGACCTCAGATTGCATTACTTATTAAAAAAGGACCAGAAGACTATGGGGTTATTCTTTTGTGATCTTTTACTCACCATATTCCTCCGGAATCTGCATGCCAAAGAGACCCAGGTCCTTCAGTCCTTTTAAAGTTTCAGGTGGGATTTTTGCATCTCGATCAATTTTCTTAGAGTCCACTAAAAATACAGATGTTTTTATAACTTAAAAGTTTGTTTCTTAGTACAGAAAAAAATGCTCAGAGACTGCAGCATTCTCAAATTAGAGCCAAGGTCACTATGTGCTATGAGACAGCAGAAGTATACCTCTAACCTAACTACCAGTTTGAGAGCCCAAAACTCAACAAAGACTAAGTGAAGAACTAATAGAAACGAGGCCTGTTAGAGAATCACATCCCTTCTCTCTGTAAGTTTTTTTTCTTGTAGTCTTCTAAAGCATCTTCAGCAAAGACATCGCACTTGTTGCACCAGATACAGGCATTACTTCCCATGCCTAAGTTCACAGAAATTACTCCTAGGTTTAGTCTGTTCTTACTCACTGTCCTGTTGCCTCCCTTCCCTTGCAGCTGGAAAAGTCTCAATCCCTATAAACTGGCTACTGCAAGATTAATAATACACTGGGCTGGCTAGTGGCTGAAGATAATTATGACACGGAACCAACGTGCCACCTAAGTAACCCGTCCTTTTACTTGGTCAAAATCAAAAAACAGAACCTACTGGAAGGTCCCAAGAATATAGATTATGGCTGTAAAGTCATGTTGTATAAGGGAAAAGAACTTGGAAGTGGGAAAAATCTGTTTTTTATTCCATTATCTCAAACATTTCTATGTTTACAGGTTGTGCATATATATTTAAGCAGATTCCATGACTGGACTAAGCAAAACATTTCCAGGATTTTCTTTGGGAACTATGTCCAAGCCATGACGGAAAAAAAGGAAAAACACATAAACAGGATAACGGCAGCAATCTTGTTCTTTTGAGTTATTCCAACTCTTGGGGGATTATAAGAGCTGTTTTGTAGGGTTACAGCAAAAATATGCATTAGCTCAAGAAAGCTGTAAGCTGCAGAAAAAGGACGAGAAGCCGCGTTTCCAAAAACACTTGAAAGGAATTAACTCTGCAGAAGCAAAGGCACTTGTCTAAAGAAACTTCATACTCACCACAGTTAAATGATTCCACAACTTCTATATAAAACTTACAGGGGGGAGGCAACTAAAAGCTCCGATGCTTTTTGAAGAGAAGTTACTCAGAAAAAAAGCACATTTTAACAAGACTTATTTTTAATCTAGATTGTAGTAGAAATACATTTGTGGTATATGGGAGAGAAAGGTGTTTCTTTACTTATTTCTCCGTTACACCCATATACGCCTATCTGTAGTCCGGAGAATGTCAAGCCTCAGAACGACTCCTGCTGAGATGAATTTCCTTATCTAGTGCCAACTCTATCAAGTTTCTAACTGTTTAAGGTTGCTCCCCTAACCTGTTTTTACCACACCCATAAGCTACCCTGAACACCTGAACAGAAATGGCTGAGAATTCAAAGACGAACAGTTTCTACCATCATCAGTCAAGACTCTGTGATTTGACATGCTATTCCTTCCTGAAATATCATTTTTACTACATCATTTTTGGGAAGAATTATGCTTCACAAAAGAGCAAAGAGTTAAAAAAAATGTGACATGCGTAAGTTCTCAACTTACTGTCAGTGAGCAATGTTAAACTTTCATAGTCAAAATCATCTGGATCTCATAAATTCTAATCCCTGACAATCACAGGCCTCTTCAAACTCCTGGAATGTTTGGTAATCGAGACCTACTATCTTTGCCAGCTGGAAAATCTGAGATTATATCGTTCCGCTATTTCAGAAATCGCAGTTTGTAAAACCAATTTTCTGCAACTGTTCTTGAATTAGTTTTTATATTGTATCAATAACAGAAGAAACACACTGTGACCTTAACTGAAATATACGCAGCTAATATGAGTTTTTCCAGAGAGAATAACTACTCTAATATTGAAAAAACATAAACGCCTTTGATTTTTCATAGCTTCTCAAGTAGTCACCTTTTATGATTCTCTGCTGAATTTTGCCAAAGTTTTAGTACAGCAGAATAGTTAATGTTCACACACAAAAAAGCACAGTATATTAAGTGGAAAATAGCTATATACAACTGAACTATAAACAATTTCAAGTTCTACTTCTATCCCAGAATTCTTTTACTTCCTTCCTGTTAGGTTTTACAGTTCTTCTGTTTTCAATATTTATTTTTTCTCCTCAGCTTTCAAGTAATCTATATAAAAAGCCATATATGAATGTGCCTATATAGCAGCATTGTATAACTGGTAACAAATATGTTAAATAACTTAAATATTTAAATTACAGTACTGTTATGCAACTGCTATAATTAAACCATTTTGCAATCACTAGATCAATTACATGGATAAGAAACTAATAACCTTACCTTCTTCATTGAAGAATTTTTCTACAGGTCCCACAAGCTGGTTGATCTCCTCTAGTTCTTCGTTGTTAATTTCTGGATAAGGAAAAACTTCTTCCTAAAATAGCAGTTTGGGGATTTTTTAAAGCATGAATCGTCCAATTGAAATCAAAGTTTAAGAACACCTAACTTCCAAATATTGAAGTCTCAGAAATTGTGAAAGTTGAGAATTGTGGAATTAGGAACAGAAACAGCCTCATCTGATGAAATCCATAGGATTCAACTATACTACATACCAAAACAAATCAGAAGCTAGTACCTGAAAGAGAAACATGGCTACAGGAAGGAACAAAGAGATTTAAAGAGCTACCGGGATGCAAAAATCCTTGCTCAACTGTGAATTTTGTCAATACAATCCCATTTTTAGGCATTTACAAAGTCAGTTAATTTTTATTTGCATCAGAACTAATTTAATGTTGTAACGTTTTCAAAGCTCAGACCACAGATGCTGTTTCTTGGAAGGACACAGCACATCCCACCTGCTCAACGCCAGGAGAAGACAGAGTAGCGGGGGACTGTTCCATAACGCCCCTTATCATCTACCTCCTACGCTAGGTTCTTTGTTATATAACAGTTTTGGCCGTGACCCGCAAGCAGTACGGCCTAGCAGGCTTGCATTAAAAAAAAAAAAAAAAGCCAAGTGACAAATGTAAGTTAAAGACCACGAGACGAGCGTGCTTTTTACTGTGGACAGACTGACATTTGAGGGGAAAAAGATATGCGGGAAGTGAGGTTTTGTGTGATGGAGTTTGATCACTAATCTTCACTACCCTTTACTTGACAAGTCCGTTTTGAGAGAATTTGTGATTCGAATCACTTCGGTGGACGCTGGGCCCATTCCTTTTCCTCATTTATTTAACCCCATAATTCAACTGAACGCATCTGGCAAATCTTTTCTGGAGCAATAAGCAGTTACATCTGAAATTCATCGCTTCTGCCTCCCGTGGTTTCTCAAGGCGCGGAGGAGCTTTTATCTTACGACGCTGCAAGCAAACGGTTGCGCCAAGTCGTGCTCCTCGAGGCGAGTTCAGGGCCCGGCCCCGCGCGGGCACCCCGGCCCC